CGTGGACGGTCGCGGCGGCGGCCGTGGGTGGGCCGTGCACGCGTCGTCCTAGGCCATCGCAGTAGCAGAGCACAGCGGTGACAGCACCGTGGGCATCTGCTCCTAGCGTGTCCCCTCGATTGTCCCCGCTCGAGAGTGTCGGGCTGAGGGTGTGGCCGTGCTCCCTGACGCTTGCGACACGCTGCTGCAGGGCTGGCATCAGGACAGATGCTCATTGTTGCTATGAGGCTGACCTGGGCTCCAACCCTTGCCTCTAAAATCATCTTTTCCTGTAGAACTTTCGAGCGCGCTTCCGTCTGATCTTTCTGGCGGCCGTGCCGTCGTCTCAGAGGCCTGTCACTGGGGATCAGTCGTTAATCGCTAAAACTACTAACTTACCGCCTAAAAATGTAATACGAAGGGCACAGAATGCAAAACGGAGGACTCGGGCCTTTGCCAGTAACGCCAGGGGAGACGTCACGCCGGTCCTTCTCCTCTGGGCCTGTGTCCCCATCAGCGCAGTTATCTCTAAGTGTCCGCAGGGCGGAAGCTGCGTGCCGGCCGCCGGCCCCCGCCTCACACCTGCCTTCGCTCGGTCACTACCTGACGCTCTTAGGAAGCGGCTGCGGCACCGGCGATCATCTTTCACACGACACATTTCACTGACACACACCGAGTAGTTTGCCCAGCGCTTTCCATGCACTTGCGTGGCCGACGATGCATTTTCATGCATGTAGCCAGGCAGCACAATCCTGCGCTCTTAAACATTAAGCCCCGTCCCCTAAAATGACGGGCAGCTTTAAAAGACCCCTCTCTTACGCTTTCCAACTTTGGAACTTTCTGACGCTGTTTAAGGAAAGAGGCCTGTTTGCCGCGTTTGACTCAGGGCCTTGTACACGGTTCTGTATGGAGAGGACAAAGGCAGGACCGCTGACCGCGAGCGCAGCGGGGTGGCCACATCGTTATCTCCCCTTGTCTTCTGTGCTTTTTGTTCTGCAGAGGGTTCAAAATGGCCGACTGCAGCAGGCTGGACACACCCTTCTTGTTTTGCCTGATCTGGGATCTGGCTCACGCTTCCACGCAACCGACCGCTTGCTGCAGGAGAAATTTTTTTCTTACCCATTCATATTTTCCTGTGTTAATACAGATGTCCGCAAATAAAGGAAAGGTTGTTGCTTTTTTTTTTTCTTACACTGAAATACTGAAAAAAACCTGCATTGCTCTTATTATTCGGCTGGAATAGAATTCGAGGTACAATTACCACATCAAAGGGTAGGAACGTTTTTAACACTCAACGTATATTGCCACATTTCTCCCACAAAAGGTTGTACCGGTTTTTACTCACAAGGCTGTAGTATTTGTTTTTTAGAAAAAGCATTTTATGGATAAAAACCAGTATTATTTAGTTTCGCATTTCTTTGCTTATTAGTGAGTTTGGATTCTTTTTTTCCTCCACGTATTTCTTAGCAGTTTTGTTTTCTTTCATGTGGTGATAGCTCATGATTTATCTGAGTTGCAGTTTTACTTTATGCTTATTATTATCACCTGAATGTGTTCTGTGACTAAAGGTTATTACCCAGATTTCTGTAATGTTATAAATATATACTACAGGTTATTATTTGCCTTTTAATTTTTCTTTTCAAATTTTTGCTTAGTTGAGATTTGAAATCATGTGGTCAAATCTCTATCTTTTGTGACTTTTCTTCCATTGTTTACATTTGGCTAGTTCCCTCATTCTACAAATTTGGTAAATGTCCATTGTAGCTTTGTCTAAGGATAACCATCAAGTATGAGGAAAAACCCATAATTTCACTACCCGGAGATAACCAGTGTTAATAAACGTGTTCGCTTCTTTTCATTCTTCATTTCCTACAGTTGCTCATCTGTTTGTAGTATTTATATCGTGTTTCGTGTTTCACATTATAACATGCATTTCTCCGTGTTAAATATTCTTTGTAATTATCATGTAATGGTTCCAGGATATTTTGTTGTATGGCAGTAGTTTAAGAATTTCAGCATTTAAAATTGTGGAATGAATGTCTTTTCATTTAGTTTTTATTGTTTACTTTGAGTTCTTTATAGATTAGAATTCCAGATTTAGAATTACTCGTTAGAAAGTGTGAACATTATAAACACTAGCCATAATGGCGTTCCAGAAAATTATGTCAGTTTTAGTACCCAGTCATTTAGGTATCTAAAACAAATTTTTGCTAAAACTTTTTATGTGAGAGAATGGTATGTTGGCTTTGCGATACATTCTGTCATTGGTGAGGCTGGACTCTCGAATGCTGTTAGCTCATTTCCTCACGTGAACTATTCAGTTAGAGTCAGAATGTTATCTCTTGGTCAGAGCTGTATTACGTGCTCTGTATAAGGATGTGTTGCACATACACCCCTGGCATGTTTGTTGCCATCGAGTCCGAAGAAAGTTTTGCGATGCCAGAGACAGCTGCCCAGTGGAACGCGTGTCAGACTCTTGGTAGCCAATTGGAGATAACGTTTGTTTGTCCTTAAATAGGGAGCCATTTCTTTGTATCCAAAAGAAAAGCACAGCAGGGCTGCTCCCTGGCTGTGAGTGTGGGAAGAAGACATGGCAAAGTTTTGTCCCTAATGAGAAACGCACTTAGACAAAACACAAAACTGTAGTCCCCTCTCCTGCCTCCGTTCAGGCCCTGAACTTATTTTGAGTGATGCAGGGGAGGATGTGGATGTAATGTGATGTCCACAATTACAGGTAACGCTGAGGTCTTCGGGGATGTAGAATACTCACAGGCACAGACCGCAACGTTGGAGAAGGCCGATACTTAGCGGAGTGAACCGTGGAGGCAAGAGCCGCCTGATGGCTTGAGGGGGAAAGTAGTGGCTCAGAGACATCCGGTCCCAAGACAGGGATCTGGGTTTAAATGGCAACAACTCAGTGATGTCCTCAGCTCTCATTGCTGGTGCTGAGACGAGCCATTAGAAACCTAGGCCTTATTGGTAACAGTATGGGATGCAGAGAACCTCATCCTGTCTTTGTTTGAAACCATCTGGACCGAATGACTAGTTAACACTAGATCTCAAGGAGTCTCTCGGATCCCTCGGCACATTTGGGAAAGGGCGTGGGAAGGCCGTTACCTCTCTGAGTCGTTTTCGTTATAATATCTCTGTGATTTAGATGAGAGACTCTGAAAGGTCTTCAGGGACCGTGGGGAAGGGCGCGGTGTCTTACTCTGCTTTCCTGAAGCTGGGTCTGCGATTTCCGGATCAGAGAATCTGTTTCATTGATATTTATTAAGTCGAGCTTTCTAAAGTCTCCCCGCCGTGTGAGCTGTATATTAGCTCTGTTATGCTTAACACTGAAACTTGAAAATCGTTTCGATGAAGAGGTTGTTGGGTTTCGAGGTGCAGAGCGAGCCGTCACTTCACGGCTTTTTCGTTCTTTATGGCTCCTTGCTGTCTAGCGGTACCGGGTGAGTCCAGTGAGTTGCGAGCTCCCATGTTTGAGCACTTTGCTAGTTACAGATGCTGAACCAGGCTCGCGCGCGTGGTAGGGAGGTTGACACGTGTAATAAGCAAAGCACAGTGAACAACGAAGCGTGCGTTTGGAGGAGGCGGCTGGCGGGGTCCTTCACTGTCCCCTTCACCTGTCTGTGCAGCGGAGTCCGTGCCGGCGTCTGGTTCCCGAGTTCAGTCTGTGATGGGCGGTGAGGCAGAGCCAGGGTTTTTGAAATCGCCTACGACCATATAACCTTTGATTTCTACAGTTCGTTCCTCCCGTCTCTTGATGTTACAGCCAGCGGCAGCCTGGGGCGGCACCGCCCGGAAAGAAATGTGACATAGGCCATTATGATACAGCCTGATAAGTGTTACAGCACTTACCAGGTTGTATCGTAACTGTCCGTGCATTTGTCTCTCTCCCTCCCTCTGTCGCCTGTTAGGCTGTGACTCCTCGAGGGCGGGGCAGTGTAGCATCGTCATCTCCAGAGCTCAGCCTGGCACATTCGTAGGCCTCAGTAAGTGTTTATTGGACGGCTGAATGAATGGCTCGCCAACAAACCTTAATCGTGCGCCTGCTAACGTGATCCGCACGGGCTCTGGAGTGTCCACTGCTTCAACATGCGTGTGGTCAGAAAGTTGCTATTCCTGTCTCGTGTTTACATCTATTCTCAAGATTTTCTCCTGAGAGAAAGCGATTTTTCTGTTCGGATTTCAGTCCTCGCTATTTACAGAGGTGGCTACTGCTGTTAACGGCTGACAGTCTCCTCCTTGGTGGGACTGTCATCATCACTGCCCGGGGCTTGCTAAATGGCTCCTGTTTGTAGACTCGTACCCCCTACTCCTGAGG